TTTTTTTTTTTTTTTTTTTTTTTTTTAAGTGAGATCTTAAGAAGCCTAAGCAGAGGCATTTAGGAGTCCAGATATCATGGTGCTGGTACTGTGCAACTGTTTCCATTAATGCTAAAAACACTCATTTAACATTGCTCGAATAAGAACAAGTGCATTTCTTGGTAATTGCAAGATGTCATTGTGAGACATTATAAGGCAGTAGGCAGCAACAGCCCTTCCTTACAGATTCATGATCCTGAATAGTTTATTTCCCCAGTGAAATGGAATTTGGAGGTGGAAGGAAAACAGTGTTGATCAGTCATTGATTTTGCCTCAAGTGCCCCTGCAATTAAAACAAAAAAAGGTCTAGGCTTTTCTGTTTAGTTTTAATGTTGTTTCTGTCTGTTAATACGTAAGACTTGCACAAATAGATTAAATAAGCTATGCAGAGGAAATAGAGGATCTTGCTCTGCAGGCAGGGCTGTCAAATGCATGAAATAAAAAAGGGGTGGGAGGAGATTTATTTTTTTCCTTCCAGTTTTGAATTGGAGTTAGAGGGTACTGTTTATACTGATAGTAAGTAGAAAACTTTCAGCTGGAGAAATTGATGGTATCCCACTGAGGTATGGTTTATGCTTTGTACAATAACTTAACTGGCAAGGTAAGGTTATAGTTTCATTTATTTGAGTCTCAGAATAAATGTATATGGTTTATTCCAGTTAAAGGAAGATCTTTCTTTTGGGCCTTCAAGCCTAAGCGAGGGTCTTCAAACAGTAGGGATTCTTAATAGCTTTGGCATTACCAGCTAAGAATTATGCTGTCAAGACATGAAATGAACTGCTTGTTCTTCCACAGCTGTGTCGGCTCTGCTGAATTGACAGAACGGACGCTAGTGAGTGTCTGTTAGTGAGCCACTCTCTCATAGAGCAGTCAAATAACATGAGTAAAAAGGCACTGCTTCCAGGAGTTATCTTTTGGACCAATAGCACTATAAGATCTAAAATAAATAACCTTCTGTTTTTCTTCTCCCATGAGAGTTTGTTTTTCACTTAAGAGTTGTTGACATTGTTTAGTGCAACTGATACCCAGTCCTGCAGCCCTTAGGATATATCTTCTTGATGTCATCAGGAGTTCTGAATCAAATGAGTCAGCTCTTGGTTGCTGCAAGTATCTTGTCTTCGCGCAGCTCATTGCTGAATCAGAATACAAGTTTTGCATACATCTTGATGCGCACACAGGCTGCAGATCAGGTTCTTGGAGGAAATTACCTTAAGTGTTTTTGATACTGGGACAAATTGAGCATATATTTAAATTGTTGCCTTCTCTTTTGACGAGAACTGTCCTCCTCTGAGATGTTCTGAGATGTATGGTGTTTTGTGAGTCTGGAATGGATTTGGGGGTTTAGATAGCTGCATTTTGTTTATATATAATTTTAAAAGATTATCAAATCAAACTTGATTACCTACTTAAATCTTCATTCTGCATGCTTGCACTGGTGAAAGAGCCAGATATTTCATTCTGCTTAAGTGTATTCCTGGATTTGTCTCCTAGAGGACAATATTTGTTCAACTAATAATGTGTTTTATTCCCTCAAAACTACTTCTAGGTCTTGTTCATAAAACCCACATGTCATCCTGCCGTGTGGATAAGCCCTCGGAGATGGTGGATGTTGGAGACAAAGTGTGGGTGAAACTTATTGGCAAAGAGGTAAAATCAATCCTGATGTCTTAAGCAATTTGTTACTGAGAAGAATTTTACAACTACAGTCTAATAGTATTCATGTTAGTAGAAGCTTAGGGCTCTAACTTTCCCTGGTTCACAATGGGATCTGGTATAAAATCAGATAGATCTCATCTGAAACAGATTATGGTTCAACTAAATAATCTTTTATCTGTATTGCATGGCACTGTATAGGGTCAGATTAGGAATCTTATCTTGGTAAAAATGTCTCTTTTCTTTCTCTGCATGTTAAAAGTGCAGCCTATTTTTCATTGGTTAAACTTTTACCTGCTGAGTAGCTCCATTACTTCTGTATGGTAAATTTATAATCTATGAAGGTATTTTAGGATTTATAGGAAGAGAAGGTGTGATATGGCTACTAGAAAGGACAGTGAGTTCATTCCTGGCAAAAATGGAGAATTCTCTTAATTCTGCTTGGGAGAATAATATATTTCTTTAATAGCACCTTTAATTCTGCTAAAGGTGATTTGCAGAATTTTAAAAAATATGACTTGTACCTTTTTGCTGCTTTTTGTACAGGAAGTTTGCTGAGAGATCTGTGCCATTGTTAATTTTTTAAGGGTTGTGCTTGTCTAGTGACAGATTGTTAGATATTACTTCTGTATTAAAACATAGAGACTGACTGGAGAGCTGCTAAAATGACAATATTGTAAGAACTGAAAGAGTAAGTGTTGACCAAGCTGATGTAGAAAGGATTTTGATCACTAATCAGACTTTTTTTTTTTTTTTTAAAGGAATTTTAAAGCAGAACTGACTATTTTAAATGGTTCACACTTTGGAAAAGGATGTTACACAAATTCAGCTATCCCCTTTGAGAGGCTGAGCGCTACCATTGTTAAGCTGTCTGCAGATCTTTCAGAAATTGGAGAATATCAGACAGAGAACAAAATCATTTTTCCCCCCAGTGGTTTTTCAGCAAACCTTATTTATATGTCCTAAAGAAGCAAAAAAGAAAGGTTTTAAATCCTTCAGAGCTCACTTCTTACAATTTTTAACCTTCCTACTTGCATGTAAGCCCCTCTAGAAAGTTGTAACCTTTGTCCTCACTGGCTTTTTTATTCTTTATAAAACACACTTTCTGAATTGTTGAGCTCCTTGCTTTTCTCTGGGAGGTGAAGGGAAGATGGATAATAAGGGTAGAACAACTTACTGAAGCATTACTTACCATTGTGATTCTGTTTGAATGTTCATTTTGTGAACAGATAATGAAATATACCTCCAAGATTTGGCTTGACTGCAAACTGTTAGTTCGACCAGGGCCACACTGTAGTCTGCACAATTACAGATCACACACTAATGATGCTCCTCAGTGAGCATCTACCATATTTACTTGAATCTAAGATTACCCTGAATTTAAAACGGCCCACCAATTATTGAGTTGTAGACATGGAAAATTTATAAAGTTGGTTTAATCTTTCTTGTCCAGAATCTAGTTATTGGAAGGTCCCCTTTAAATTCATTGCTTCCTACTGGTGCAACAGGGAAAGTAGTAGCAGAGAAAGCAGGAGCAGGGGCAGGCAGCCTGCCCCATGCCCTTTGTTGCCCCTCTCCATCCCCCCACCCAGTGCCTTCTCCTGCCTATCAATTGTCCCCCTTTTGTGCCTGCCCTTCTCCTCCCTACTTTTGCAGCTTCTTTTGCTCTGTCTCTGCTGGGGACATGGAGCACCAGCCAGGCCAGGCTCCACCTTTGGCCTCCAGGCCCAGTGTGGTTGGGTGTAGAGCTACAGCAGCAACCCTGTTGCTCTCTGCGTCGCTTCCCTATGCTCTCCCTGCACTGCATGCCCCTTTCCTGCCTCTTGCTCCACACTCTACTTCACCTGCACCCTACAAATCCCCTTCCCTGCACTCCGCTTATTCCATGCATTCCTTCACTCATGCTCCTTCTGCCACCCCTGCCCAGGACCATGTGCCTCTTCCCCATGCACTGTGACTACTTATTGTTTCTCATTGCTTCCCCCTGCACTGTGTGCCCTTTCCCCACGTGGGGTACAGGGAGGAGCATTGGTGAAGGGTATGCGGTGTGAAGGGACCATGGAACAAGGGGTGCTCCTCATGTCCCTTCCCCTGTGCTGTTTCCTTGCACTTGTGTCCCTGTTCCTACTTGTTCTGCTGTGCTTATCCCTTCCCCTGGAATGTTCCTCCAAGCACCCCTTACTTGTGCTCTCCCATGGACCCTGTAGCCACATGCACCACCCTGGCCACCCTCTGGAACTGCAGTAGCTGCTTGCCTGGCCTGTACTCTAATGTATGATGAGAGGTTTTTTGCTGAATTGTGGGAGGGAGGTGGGGTACGACACCTTGCCTTATATTCAAGTAAATATGTTAAAAGGTCACATACTACATGAAACCTACTCCTGTGAGCTAATACGAAGATCAGGAGTTTATTAGGATTTGGAAAAGTATGAGCCTTTAATACAGATAATCAGAATATTCCCAGTTATGTAAGAGGATAAAAAGGTGTAAGGGATATAAAGTCTCAGAGAAGAAGACAGCCACAAACTGTCTAGTCCAGGAAGCAACTTTTCTTGTGGGCAGGTTATTTAATAATATCCCATTTAAGAGTCATCTTGTACCTTTTCCCCTGGCTATAATTAAAAATGGCAAAATTGATCATTCGTGTATGTGTTTTTTTTCCCCCTGAGTTAATGGACTTGAGTATATTAACAGTGCTACCAGTTGTAAGTACAACTGAAATACAGTTGTCATAATAAACATTTTGATGTGGCATCTGTACCAGAATAGCACACATTCCTGTGCTAGGTGACGGATTTCTCTGTGGTCCCTAGTGGTAATTAACACTGCTGTCTTTCTCCCCATGTGTTTGTTTCTTTCAGATGAAAGATGACAAGTTGAAGCTGTCTCTTTCTATGAAGGTTGTCAACCAAGGAACAGGAAAGGACCTAGACCCAAACAATGTTTCCCTTGAGTAGGTAAATCTCCTGAGCTGGATATAACAAGCTGGCCAGATTGCTCTTGTTCACACTTTCCTCTCTGTAGTTCCCTGCTCCCCTGATACAATGTGACCCGTGTCTCCTGCCATTGAAGGGTTAGGACCAATTATCCCTCAAGCCCATTAGTGACATAGATGGAGACATCACCAAAAAATGTTCGCTCAGTCACATTGTCAGTCCCTGCCAGCCTGTGAACGAAGCACTGCAGGCAGGTCCCAAACCTCATATTTGACAGCAAAATATTTTTTTTCCTAATGACACTTTTGAGGTATCTTTCATCACATCCTGAAGGCTGTATTCATGCTACCATTGTGGGTTTGGGTTTGATTTTGTTGTTAACGTGCAGCCCTACTAAATTGTACAAATGTATCAAAGTCTCCTTGCCTGCTCTTTACTGTGGCTCCATTTAATTATTTCACTCTGGTTAACATGCATCTGTAACTGTGTTAAGGTGGAGTATTTGTGAGGTAGCTTTGAGAACAATGGCTTTATATATGCTGGCTATACAAGTTTGCCTAAATTTTGTAAATTAATAGTGAAGTGTAACCTATTTTACCCAGAAACAAACAGGCGGACATTATATTAGTTTTCTATGCCGTACTCCTACCAAGTACTTCCTCAGCTGCATTAAGTAGAACATTACCTTTTAGATGCCAGCTATGGATTTAGATGTTTATCTTTTAAGCAACTGTTTGAAAACTCAGACAAAAGTTTCCAAGATAATACAGGAAATTGAACATAAGCAAGACCATAGATAAAAATAATCTCTTGTTTTTCCAGACAAGATGAACGGAAGAAACGTTCATTCAGAGACTACACTAGTCAAAAGATCACCCTTGAAGCTGTTTTGAACACCACTTGCAAGAAGTGTGGTTGCAAAGGTATGCTTGTATACTCATTTTTGTTGTATTGTGCTCTTGTTTTTGTCTATGTTATAGCCAGAAAGTGACTATAGTTGAAACACTATTTCCTTCTTTCTTGCTTTAAAGATTGACTGTAGTTTACAAACTTGGGTAACAGGGAAGATCTGTATTTTTTTTTTTCCTATTATTTTTGTATCTGATGTTGCCTAACCCCTTGCAGTTAAAACACTTGTAATTTCATCTGTTTTGATATTTGCTACTTTATCTAAATTTTTTTGAAGTTCATTTTTCTCTTCTACATATAGTACGGAGTTTCACAGATAGGATACTGGTTTTTATTGTGCAGTTAAGAAAATGAGACTTTTTGCCGTCCTCACCGCTTAACCAACCTGTCCACGCCCATAGTTATACTGCTTTAAATGATGGAGGGGACTTACAGCTCATGAGCCTGTATCAGCTGTTTTGTAGGTGTTAGCTTCATCTGTTTGCTTCTGTCCCACAGTAAGTGAAGCTGAACTGCAGTGATTTACCACTGAAAGAAACAGAGTACTTTATTGCAGTTTAGATTTCCATTTCCCAGGATAGAGCAGATAGATAAAAAAGGTAACAACAAATTCAGCTGACCCTTCCTCCTTTAGCTGCTTTAATTGTTTCATCTCTTCATGCCTATGCCAAGGGAAACCAGTGGAACAGTTTAGTTCCATCACTAAGTAAGAATAGGATGCATGCAAATGGTTGCTTTAGAATAAAAAATGAGCAAGTTTAAGAGGAAGGTTTTTGTGTTAGGGTTGCTGAGGAAGTGAATCTTGGTTTAACAGATGATTTTCTTAATTTGCTGTGATTTTTTTGTTGTTGTTGTTGATGTAGTCTGTAGTCCAGCAACATTAGCTCTCAGTTAATGATGCTGATTACATGTGGGATTTGTATCCTGCCCTACTTTATCTCATGTTGGTCATTAGATAATGGTTGTGTTGGACTTCATGCTGTGCTAGGAAAAGTTAATAAGCATGGGCTTAAACATACTTTCTGTTAATAATAAAGATGGATCCCTGGCCAGTGAAGATAGCCAAATGCTGCTAGAAAGCCTTCCTTTATGTTACATCCCTACCTTCAGTTCAGATATATATTTTAAATGGTATTGTTCTATCCCTAATGGCCAGGCAATCTGTGTTGGCAGGAGCTGTTTTTAGAGCTCAGCGATTGATCTGAAAATTGTTATCTCTGGGGCAGATTCAGAACAAAGCTAGTTTTCAGTTGTTATTTTTTATGACTTTAGTGTCACTTAAGAGGCTTCCTTGACATTGATTTAAGCCCTCTGCTTTATGCTCCCTTTGTTGCTTGAAGCCCCTGCCCTGGCAAGTCTCTGGTATATCTTTCTGTTCAGACACCAGGATATTTGTTTTGCCTGATTAACAACAGGTCACTTAACAGGGTTTATATTCGCTATCCCCAGGTTGCTTAATCAGCGAAGATTAAACATTGAATATTAAAGGACATGGGCAGTGTAACACTTCTTATTGCTGCACTTAATAATGAAAGTTTCGCTAACAGTAATTTAAATGCCTGAAATTCAGGGGAGGAAATGAAATGCTATTTTCATAGTGTTGTAAAGTGGATCAGGTCTACTTGGGTTCAGTTTCCAAGCATTATGTTTTATGTATAATAAACACGCATGCAAACATACTCAACAGGGCTATGGTTGACTCGCAGCATAGAATAGACAGATATAATAGTTTTATAGATATCAAAGGATGCCAGTATAAGCTGTTATGAAGTAACAGCTTCATAATGCTTGGTTCTGTTGCACTACAAATGTAGCAAAACTGCTCCCAGCTATCGTCCTATTTCATTTAGGTTCAAAGGTCTAGCTAATTTGTTGTCTGCATGCTCCTGTAGCAGCCATATAGCTAGATTGGAACAGCTGATGGTGTCCCTTTATAAAGTAATTAAAATATGGCTGTCCATATTCTAAATGAATCAAAGCATGTTTTTCTTCTAAATTACGTGTTAAATGCCTGTTGATCATATAGGGCCTGATTGTTTCAGAGTTTCACAAAAATGAACTATTTATCCTCATTTCACAAGGGAGGAAACAGATAGATGATGCAACTTGCCCTGGGTCATCCAACAAGCCAGTGAAGAGGCAGGACTAGATCTTTTGTCTTCTGAGTTCCTGTCCAGTTATCTCACCCCTATACCATACTGCCTGAAAGCCTGCATTTGCATGGTATCTAAATTCTCTCTCGTCTCTGTGGAGCACAAAACAGCCCCTGAATGGAAATTCTAAATCTTTATTTTATTTTATTCTGAAGTGCTAGAGGGTTGTGGCCTCTGCAAGCTATGTGCACTGTACGCATATCAGAGGCTCAGTACATTATAGCATCTTCTCTACATGCCTCTCTCCTAGTATATCAATCAGGGTCTCGCTACAAGTCCCAGCCCCACTCCCTTGTGCTCAGGAGTTCTGTAGTTTCTGTTTTCCCCCTTCAGTATGTGTCGGGGCTTTTGTTTACCTTGTTTGTTCTTTGTGCCAGGGTCCCTCATTCACCTACTGCCTCCTCACCTTTCTTATGTCCTTTATTCCTGGGGGAGAAATTTTAGAGTCGCCATTTTCTGCTAAAATGGGACAATGAGCAGAGCTGAAATGGAGATGTGGAACTAATAGCTGCCCTGGTCAGTGTGCTGATGCATAGACAATGACAGATGTGGTCAAAGCTGCTGACTTTGCTAACTAGATGCTAGGGGCACCAGGTATAACCTGTTTTTCCTCCTGTTCTTTTCAATTTTTAATCAAAATCAACGGGTTCCTGGCCATTTGTGCTTAGAACATTCCCTGAAAAGTTAGAATTAACTTAAGATATCATTCAAAAGTTGTGAGATGGGGAAACGCCATTGAGATGAGTTTAGACCTAGTTTTCCTCAGTTGGTTGCAGGTACTAATCCTTTTCTCTGTCTCTTTTGAGTAAAAGATGCAAGGTGGGGGTACTAACACAGGCTATTCCAACTGATGAGCAAATGGTCTTGTACTCTGCACATGGTGTAACAAAATCAAATAGATGTAATGATCACCCCCTTCAGTATCCAGCAGTTTCAGAGAGTGCTGGGCAAGTTAGTTCATTATTTACCCTAACCCTAGACTCAGTCAAATGCACTTTTGACAGACACTCACAAGGATCT